TTGGGTGCATTTCGACAAGTTTTACGAGACAGAAAATGGAGTTCAAGTCAAGAAAGTAGATGCAAATATTGTGGAAATATTTATAAAGCTGATTCAGGTAATGTTACTAGTATTTTAAAAAGGCATGTTAATAAACATATTGCTCAACATGGAAATAGAGAAACCAATCAAACTCAAATAACTAATATGGGTACTACTTGGTGTTATAATTCTTATGTATATAGGGAACAATTAGCTTTATATATTGTTGTAACTGATCAACCTATTAATATGGCTGAAGATAAATATTTTGAAAGATTTATTAAAAATTCATTTTTTCCAGGATTTAAAAGTTATTCTAAAACTGCAACTAGAAATGATTTAATAAATTGTTTGGGAAAATGAAATTAGAATTAAAAAATAAAATACATAGTTGTCATATTAGTATAGCTCTAACTGGCGATATTTGAAGTGGTAGAGCTAAACAAGATTATATTTGTGTGACTAGTCATTATTTTGATAACGAATGTAAATTAAATAAATCTTTATTAGGATTTAGATTAACAGATGTGGATCATAGTGGTCGACAAATTTATAATAAAATTGTTGAAGTTTTAGAAGATTATGATATTATTAATAAAGTGATAAGTTTAACTTTAAATAATGCAAGTGCTAATAGTACAGCTGTAGATTTTTTTCAAATTAATTATCCTTTTTATAACAATTTAAAGTTTTTTCACCAACGTTGTGCATGTCATATTATTAATTTAATTGTTAAAAGTGGTATGAAAACAATTAAAGATAATATTGATAGAATTAGAGAATCTTTAGCTTGGATTACTAGTAGTAATAAAAGAAATGTTGAATTTCAAGATGCTTGTATAAAATCAAATATGTCTCCTAGAACTTTTGCATTAGACATGCCTGTTAGGTGGAATAGTACTTATTTAATGCTTAATTCATGTTTACCTTATGCAAATATAATTAGTTATTTTATAGCAAATAATAGAGGTCCTCATTATTTGGTAGAAAAATGATTGGCATATAGCTAAAATATTTCATTCTTTTCTTAAAATTTTTTACCAATCCACTTTACAACTTTCTGGTGTATATTATCCTACTAGTCCATTGGTAATACATATAATTATAAAAAATTTTGAGTTATTTACAAAAACAAAAACAAAATTTTAAAGACACCAATAAAGGCAATGGAAAAAAAAAATTTAGTATTGGGAACATATTCCTTTTCTTTATTGTTTATGTGCTATATTTGATCCTATAATTAAATTAGTAGGTTTAGAAAATGGTTAGACAATTTAAGTGAAAATTTACGAACCGAAGCATATGCCAATCAAATAGGAGAGGTAAAAAATTGTCTTGCAGAAGTATATTTCCAATATGAAAATAGGTATGGGAACTCGCAAAGAGGCGAAATATCTAGGGAAGTTGCATCAGAAGAAACAAATGAAGACTTCTGCTCTTGGAGTGCACTGAATAGGCCGAAGAGGACCCGAATCCGAAGCACAGCCTCTTCTTCAGAAGCACCACTACCAATAACAACAACTAATATATTGTCCTCCATGCAGTCACAGAGTAATGAGCTTCAACAATATTTGGCAACCTCCGAAATGTTACTAGCAGATCCACAACAGAGAGCCAACTTTGATGTCTTAGAATATTGGAAAGCCAGAAAATGTATTTTTCTGGTATTATCAAGACTTGCCTTGGATGTTTTCGCTGTTCCTGTCTCAACCGTCTCATCCGAACAAACATTTAGTGCAAGTGGAAGAATTTTAAATGAAAGGAGAACTAAACTTTCTCCAAAAATGATGAAGTCCTCACATGTCTTCGAGATTGGGAACGGTTGTGCCATCAAGATCAATACGAGGTTGTCGACGATACTTTAATAGAATCATTTCAATTTTGTAATGTAGATGATACAGATGAGGGAGGTCCTAGTCAACCACCCCAAATTAGTTGTTTTGTAAATTGTAACTTGTAAATTAATTGTCAATTATTGCACTCGTTTTTCTTTACCAAGTTTTTGTCCCATTGGGTTTTTCTTGGTGAGGTTTTTAACGAGACAATAATTGTTGTAATTTCTTATTTTATTTTTTATTTTTCTTATATTACAATTTTATTGTATTAAAATTGAATTAATATTTGAAATGTTAACCAAAAAAAAATTAATTTAATTGAATTATTGATATTTGAAAAGTTAACTAAAAACAATTACATTTATTCATTTATAAATTATTAATTATTCATTTGAAATGTTAACTAAACAAAACAAAATCAAATCAAAAATCAAAAAAGGGGGCTAACCCGACCCGACCCGCAACCTAACCAGGCGGGTTAAGGTTGGCGGGCCGGGCTGGGCCAGCCAATCCCAAAAAAATGGCGAGCCTAACCCGGCTTGTCTTTGTTGGCGGGCGGGTTAGGACTGGCCCACCAAAATCAGTAACCCGCTGCGGGTCGGGTTGGGTCGGGCCAGGTGGGTTACTTTTCCAACATTAATCCGGTATAAATAAGCTTGATTGCTTAAGCGATCTTATGTCATTTACGTGATCGCTTAAACGATTTGCTGCTATACACTAGACTTATAACAGATTGCTTAAGCGATCTACGAACTGCTGCATTATACAAAACAAACCAAATCTCTTAAGCAATACACCAGATCGCTTAAGCTGTCTATCATATCCAGAACATATTTTCAGTCATCTCCACCCACAATCGATGCTACCACCCCCACTTACCCACAATGCAAGAAAATATTCAACAAATTTCACTCTCAACTTTCATTACATCAAACACAACCCAACAACCTAAGCAACTAAATCAAAATCATAACCCAAACCCAAACCCAATTCTTTATTAAATCTTTGTAAATCAAAATATAAAATGGAAAGAAGAGATACACATACCTGGACGAAATGTCAGGAGGAGGAGGAGGATCTATGGCGGAGAAGATGTTAATGGCAGAGGAAGAAGATAGTGTTAATGGCGGGAAGAAGAAGATGTATAAGACAGAGGAAGAAGATATAGATGAAGAAGAAGATATAGATGAAGAAGAAGATGTAGACGAAGCTTACAAGAAACAACAACCAGGGGAGGAACGCATTAATGTGGCAGGAGGAAGAAGAAGAAGGTGTTTAGGTTTGTTTGCAAGAATTTTGACTCTTTGGGGACATATTATAATTTTTAAAAGATTACACAATACTTCATTAATCCTAATTAATCCCTAATCATGTTTAATTAACCTTAATAAAAAAAACAAGGCTATTTACTTAACACTTACAAACTATATAGCCTTTTAATTAAATTTTAACTGCATATGGCCTTTTAATAAATTGCCCCGGTTAATTTGTTGAAGTTGAACCCTTAATCAAATTGAACTTTGTTTTGAATGAAAAGTCTATCAACATCTTCCTATATATTCCTTTATTATATTAATTAGTCAATATTTTCATTTCTAGATGGTGATGAAGCTGATGACTCAGATGACAGGTGTGCAAAATCAATTTAGGATAGATTGAAATTTTATGTCTTTATGAATTTGTAATTAGTTTTAGTTGCAAACTTTGATCACTGGATTGTTATTGACTTTGAAGTCTATTATTTTGAATTCTCTTAAATATAATTATTATTATTTTTTTATGTATGTTGAATCCAGACATATAGTATGTAAGTTTCAGAGGTATTATCTGCTTTGGGTCTTAAGATTCTTACGATTTTGTCTTGAAAAAACCTCTTTGAGACTTTTAGGGTGTCTTTATTCTATATAAAAGACTAAAGTCCTTATCTATTAGCTGACGTGAGAATTTGACATCAACAAAGAGCACAAATTTCAAAAACTACATTGAAAAGGGAATTTAAATAATTGAAAAAACAATCATATCAAAAATGAAATGGGTTAGTAATAAGGGCAATACTACACTTACCGATCAAGCTACTGATTTTCACATAGTGACCCACCTGTCCAATTACCCAACTCTCAAAATTTAACTTAATTCATATGAGTCAGTATGTCAAATCGGTAGTTTAATCGGTAACTCAAGCATTATTGTAGTAATAAAACAATAATATTAAAGTCAAATATTAAAATAAGTGACTAGTAAAACTCTGTGACATGACTAAATTGAAGAAAAAAACTAAAAAGAAATCTAAAATAAGTCACGCTATTAAAATATTAAGTGGGTTCAATAACATTTGCCTGTTAAACATGTTAAATGGTTTGATGTTGAGCAACATAAGAGATTCGGGCCTTTCTTAATGGATATCAATTTTAATTTGGGAAATAAGTTTTAGTCCCATTATTTTCCTCTTTTATCCCTGTCATCAAATTTTTTTTTTAATGATGATATACAGTAATTATAATAAAAAAATTATTCTTATTCTTTTTTCATTCTTTTATTTCAAAGCTTTATATTTGTAATTACAAAAAAATTTAAATAAATTTAAATCAACAATTCACAATTAAATTAATACATATCGTAATTATCACTATTTATCCCCATTAGCTAATGTTTCTTCTATAGTAAGAATTAATTTATAGATCTCAGTATCTTTTTAATCCAAAGCAAACACAATCTTATTTTATTTTTATTTTATTTATTTTTTGGTTTTTGAGAGCTCCTGAGGTTTTTACATTACTATATTCTTTTATTATTTTATATTTTGGGAAACAGTTATGAACCACAAAACTATTCTTTATAATGATGATATTATTAAATGAAAAACTGGTCATATAACCAAAAAACTGTTAAGAACTTAATTCAAACCGGATCTTAACATATATATATATTTGGAATGTTATAGAATTTAGCACTTTTAAGGAAATATAGTGTAATAAGAGATTTTAGATCTTAAGAAAAATAATGAACATGTCTATAAATCCTTGTTTAAAATGGTTGATAATTTTTTTAAATAATATTATATCCCTTTCTAGTCTAGAAGATGAGGTGAAATCGATAAAGTATGGGAGATAAAAATAACTTCTCTTTTAATTTTGCAAAGCCCAATCATAACAACCCAGACCCATACTAACGTATGGTATATTTTCTTTGGAGGGTAAAATTTATGGACCCAAGTAGTAAATAGAGGAAATTAAAAATAATATCATTCCAGTATACACCACTGTACATGTACAAAAGCTACAAACATTTACCTTAAAAGCGAATGTTGGTACTTGCTGAAATACGTTTCTGCAAGACTCGCGTATGCCGCTGCCCCAATTGGCAGAACATCCTCATCAAAAAGAGTAATGCTATGCTTACTTACAATCTTACTAACCATTTTACTATCCTGGTAAATATAACAGCATAGTATGGGTACCATACGTATAGTACCCGTACTATGCCGTTATATTTACCAAGATGGTTAATAAGATTGTGAGTAAGCATAGTTTTATTGCATCAAGAAAGAAGTGAGGGGAATGTAGAGAATGAATTGAACCCTTCTCATTTCTAATTCCAATGCTAAACATTACTCCAGGAATCTGTTCCTGATAGAAGGCTAAGTCCTCCCCTGCCATAACCTTATTTCCCACCTTCACCTTCTCAGGACCAAGCAAATCTCTACCGACCTTCTCAACTAAGAGATGCAAATTATTATCATTAACAACAGCAGGATATGGTGGGTGTTCTTCGTCTTTCATGTCAACATATGCACTACACCTGTGTACAGCAGCCTGTTGTTTGACAACCTACAAGAATCAAGGACAGACTAAATGTGAATTATCACTTCACTCTTTTCAGTTTTTTTCTTTTTGACAAATCTGTTTGCATTGGCCACAGACAAAGGCTCAAATTAAATACAATGAAGCTCATTATAGTAAACAATGAAAGAACGGGTAATTATGCTGAAAATAAAGCACTAGCCAATTTAAAAGCTCTCCCTGAAGGCACAAAGAACACAGGATTGTGATAACCATATAGTTTCAAGAGGAATAGCATGCCAGCACATCCAATTATATTACTAAAATGCTTATATTCTATTTTAAAGAGATTATGTACTAAAAACGATGATACAGAGCAATCTGTTCTTTCGAGGCTAAAGTGGAAAGTTAAGTACTGGTTTATTACCTCGTTCAACCTCTTTCGGAGTTGATACAAACCTTCTGTAGTAAGTCTTCTCAAAGTACCCCCAAATTCAACATATGGAGGAATTACATTCAATGCAGTGCCAGCTCTAACGTAAGTAACAGACAGCACCTTCAACCCAAAAAAGAAAGTAAGAGCATTAAATTATATCACATCAGACAGCACCTTAAATCAATCTATGCACTCATTCTTGTGTAACCATATTCCTAAAGAATATCATAAAAAGAAAGTGCACTGAAAATTCCTCCACATGTTCCTAAGGGTGACATACAGAAATTGTTGCCACTTTGGTTGAGGGGTTAGTGGTCTCTAGTCTATGCAGCTGTAAGCGAAGCCGTACAAGAAAATGCCAGTGGAACTTTCAAATAAGCTGAAAAGACAAACAGTTGCAGTCTTTTTGAAATGATAAACTAAAGGAGTTTGTTCCTACAGTTCTTTCAAAATTATCGAGCAAATCATCCATTAAATATCATTTCATGCAATAATAGCAAAAATAGACTGTTATGTATGAATTGATAGACAACAGAAACATACTTGACTGTGGAGAGGATCAACTTCTCTCGAAATGAGTTGTTGCAATGCCAATATTACAAATGAAGCAGCAAGTATTGGATCCACAGCAGATTGCGGTTCTGCAGCATGCCCTCCTCTCCCCTCTATCTTTACATCAAAAACGCAAACAGAAGCCAGGACTGGCCCCGAAAGGGATCGTATGCTTCCTGTGGGCATTTGATAATCAACATGCATTCCAAATATGGCTTCAGAGTAACCAAGAGCACCATCTTTAATCATGTGTAAAGCACCAGCACCTCCCTCCTCGGCAGGTTGGAAAAGAAGTCTCACAGTTCCCTTCCAAAACCGAAGGGATGAAAAGTTGTGCAATTTTTAGTTCAGTTAAAATCCCAAATTGACATGTTACAAAACATTGGGGGAAGGAGGGGCAAACGATTAAGCCAGAGAATTACAAGAAACAGATGCAGAAGCATGATTTTCAGACAAAGATGTGCACTCACACAAATCTTATTCATCAGACATTTTATGAGTAGAAAGAGATAAAATTTGATTAATTATATATAAGCTTAGAAACTAAACACCACAAGTTTGTCATTAGAGCAACAAAAATAAATAATCAAATACAAAAAGACATGGAAATAATTGGAGTAATTGATTTCATTTAAAATTAAATTATTTAAAATGATTATCTCCCCCTTATATTATCTTACCAAACGTAGGTTTTATACATCAAATATCAGCAAAATCCAACCATAGTCTAAATGCAATTACAAGAACTAAAAATTTTAGTTAGATAAAGAAGATAGCAAAATCTCTACTGTTTGGACTTAAAAATTACACTGCTAAAGACATGAATCTATCATTAGCTATCTCAAAAACTTGTTATCAAAACATTGGCTTAAGAAATCTTATTCAGCATTCTCTAATAAACCCACAGACCTTAAGTTCATCTTGACGCTGATGAAGTAGCTTGGCAGCACCCAGTAGCATGGTAGTATGAGCATCATGTCCACATCCATGCATTTTCCCATCAGCTTTGCTCTTATGCTTCCATTCCACCAATTCCTACACATCAATTACTTCCGTACTATCAAAATATGAATACAAATAAAGAGAGTATCGTACATAATTCGTGTGCCATGTATATAATTATTTTAAATACCAATAATCACTGACGTAGCATAATATGCCTCGTGTATGGTAGACTTCTCCCTACTGTTAATGTCAATACTAATAGAGAAACTTTATTGTACTTTAAACATACCAAGTCATTCATGCATCAAGTAGTACCACCTATTCATGCGTTTAACTAATAAAACTATATCACATATATAATTATTTAAAAAAAAAAAATTGTAGGCCTATCATGTTATCCGTACATCAAGCTAACAAGAAAAAACTGCCGAACCACATCAGTACTAACATACACAATCTAACATACATTTTGGCTACCAAATCATCCATACATTTTTGTTAACAAAACTTGGTTACTTACATAATTATTTCACAAATATATAATGATAATCAAAATAGAGAAAGTATATAATCGTTTTAGAAACCAATTTCATCGGCACAGATACATAATCAAAAGGTAAAGAAAACAAGAAATACTTGTAAAGGAAGGGCATCAATGTCAGCCCGGAGAGCAACGACAGGGCGACAACCGGAGCCAATTTGAGCAACGATGCCAGTGATTGCAAGTGGGTATGAGTAAGTGATACCAAGTTTGTCAAGTTCATGGCGGATGAGAGCACTTGTGTTGTATTCTTGAAATTTGAGTTCTGGGTTTTCATGGATTTGTCTCCTTACTGAGGTTAACCATTCTTTGTCTTGACGAGCTGAACTTAAAATTTCATCATAATTACAAAGGATTGAAGGTAAGAGAACCAAAATGAAGAACAACGCAGGAACAAAAGCTATTTCCATTTAATGAACAGGTTGTTGTGGATAGGGGATGGAAGTATTAGGGATGCGTTGACCCACTAATTATTTATTTTGTTCCATGAATTAGTGGATTTTCCGGTTCACCCAACCGAACCCGATATTATTTTGGGTAGACGAAGATGACACCATAATATTAATTCCAAAAAATATACTTACTATAATAAAATATTCTCTCGAGACAAACTTTTTTAGATTTCAGAGGGAACATTAATCCCCATTGTGTTAAATTTTCAGTGTTAAAATAAAAAGATAAATATTCGTATATTATATAAGGAGAGAAGAAGAAAATAAAGTGTGAAGAGAAGAATGACGTGGCAATGAATATTGTAATTTGTTATAGAAATAATTGATATTCCACAAACATTAATAGAAAGAAACAAATTAACTTGAAGAAATATCATATTGTACAACTCATGGGGTCTAATTTTTAAAACACTATCTATTATATTATTTGAAATTCCAAAAAATCCATTTAACTTCTAGTATAGATTGAATACGTCTAAAGGTGAAATAGTATAGTTGTACAATGTTGTATATTGTACAACTCACGGGGTCTAATTTTTAAAACACTATCTATTATATTATTTGAAATTCCAAAAAATCCATTTAACTTCTAGTATAGATTGAATACGTCTAAAGGTCGAAAATAATCTGCCTGGCCTAACCCATGGTCGGTTAGGCTCGGCCCGCCAACAAGGGTGGGTTGGGTTAGGCCCGCCTCTTTGGCCAAAAGGGTTGGCCCAACCCAGCCCGCCAACCCTAATCCGATGGGTTTTTGTGTAGGCTGGCCCGGAATTTTTTTTTATTTTTTTATTTTCTGTAATTATTTTTAGCTAACTTTTCAAATATCAATTCAATTATATTAATTTTTTTTAGTTACCATTTCAAATATTAATTCAATTTTAATACAATTAAATTGTAATATAAGAAAATTTTGATTTATTCATTTATCAAAAAATAAAATAAAAAATAAGAAATTACAACAATTATTGCCTCATTAAAAACCTTACCAAGAAAAACTCAATTGAAGCAAAGACTTGATAAGAAAAAAAGAGTACAATAATTGATAGTTAATTTATAAATTACAAAGTTACAATTTACAAAACAACTAATTTGAGATTGACTAGGACCTCCTTCATCTGTATCATCTAAATTACAAAATTGAAATAATTCTATTAAAGTATCATCGATAACCTCATATTGATCCTGATGGCGCAATCATTCCTAATCTCGAAGACATGTAAGGACTTCAATCATTTTTTGTGAAAGTTCAGTCCTTTTTTAATTTAAAATTATTCCACTTGCACTAAATGTTTGTTCCAATGAGACGGTTGAGACAGGAATAGAGAAAACATCCAGGGCAAGTCTTGATAATACCGGAAAAATACATTTTCTAGTTTTCCAATATTCTAAGACATCAAAGTTGGCTCTTTATTATGGATTTGCTGGTAGCACATCAGGGGTTCCCAAATATTGGTGAAGCTTATTACTCTGCAACTGCATAGAGGACAGTATATTCGTTATTGATGCTTTTGAAGAGAAGGTTATGCTTCAGGTTCGAGTCTTCTTCGACCTATTAAGTGCACTCTAGATGTCGAAGTCTTCATTTGTGTCTTCTGATGCTACTTCCTCGGGTATTTTGCCTCTTTACTGGTTTCAATACATGCTTTCATATTGCAAATATACATTTGCAAGACACTATCTTATCTCTCCTAGTTGAATGTCATATGCTTCGTCTCATAAATTTTCACTTAACATGTCTAAACCATTTTCTAAACCCGCTAATTTAATTATAGGATCAAATATGACAACTAAACAAAAAAGAAAATGAATGAATTTCCAATATTTTTAAAATTTTAATTCTATTGTCTCTATTGGTCCCGCTAAAATTTCATTATTTCTGTTTTTTTTTTTAAATAAATCTGAAATTTTTATAATTATATGTATTACCAATGGACTAGTAGAATAATACATACCAAAAAGTTTTAAAGTGGATTGATAAAAGAGTTTAAGAAAATAATGAATTTTTTGAGATATATGTCGATCATTGTCTACCAAATAATGAGAACTCTTATTATTTGCTACAAAATAACTAATTAAATTTGCATATGGTAAACATGAATCGAGCATTAAATAAATACTATTCCACCTAACAGACATATCTAATGCAAAAGTTCTTGGAGACAAATTTGATTTTATACAAGCATCTTGAAATTCAACATTTCTTCTATTACTACTAGTAATTCAAGCTAAAGAATCTTTATTTCTATCAATATTATGTATAATTTTTTTCATACTACTTTTTACAATTAAATTAATAATGTGACATACACAACGTTGTTAAAAAAACTTCAAATTGTTATAAAAATGAAAATTTATTTTAAAAAATTTATTACTCTACTATTAGCACTTGCATTTTATAAAGTTAAACTTATCACTTTGTGAACAATATCACGATCTTCTAAAACTTCAACAATTTTATTATAAATTTGTTGATCACTATGATCCACATCCATTAATCTAAATCCCAATAAAGTTTATTTAATTTACATTCGTTATCAAAATAATGACTAGTCACTTAAATATAATCTTGTTTAGCTTTACCATTCCAAATATCGATGGTTACAGTCACACTAACATGACAACTATGTATTTTATTTCTTAATTCTAATTTCATTTTTCCAAACAATTTTATTAAATCATTTCTAGTTGTAGTTTTAGAATAAGTTTTAAATTCTGGAAAAAAATGAATTTTTAATAAATCTTTCAAAATATTATTTTCAACCATATTAATAGGTTGATCAGTTATAGCAATATATAAAGCTAATTATTCCCTATATATACCAGAATTATAATGTCAAATAGTACCCATACTAGTTATTTGAATTTGATTGATTTCTCTATTTCCATGATGATTTATATATTTACTAGCATGTGTTTTTAAAGTACTAGTACTATTACCTGCATGAGCTTTATAAATATTTCCACAATACTTGCATCTTGTTTTCTTTACTTGAACTCCATTTTATGTCTCGTAAAACTTTTTGAAATACACCCAAACATTTGATGTATGTCTGTCGTCGATTCTGACTGCAATTGATGAACCCGCTTCTACTTGAGATGGGTTGGACGAGGACGATGATTATGAGAATGACCTCTAGAACCACTAGGAGTTATAGCATCATGGGGAGGAAGGGGAGGATATTATGAGGTGTATTGGATTGTGAGAATGGGAAAACGGGAGTGTTTAAATCTACTACATTTACTTTAGTAAATTCAAGGGTATTATGATAATTTTCTTCATCATTGAAATATCTATCCATTTTAGTTATAAAAAAGGGATATAAAAGAATTAAAGAAAGAGAATTAGAATTTGGAAATATGAATTGAAAATTGCAAAAACTAATAAAAATTAAAATGAGAGCAAATTGACAACAAAGAGATTGAAAGACTTCAATAGAGAAAATGAGAGAATTTGGGATGTGAGGAAATATGAGAATTTATACCCTATTTATAAAAAAAAATGGGAAAAGAAAATGACTAAAAAGACTCCCCCAACTGCTATAAAACGACTATATTTGAAAGGTAAAATGGGGTTTTACCAAAAAAAGACATTTAATTTTTTTTTGTCCAACCTGTCGGACTGGTGGTTGCCAACCCGTGGGTCAACCTGGCGGGTTGACAACCCCCAACCCGGTGAGTTGGACAGGTTTTGAAAAAAAAAAAAAAACAACAACAACCCACTGGGTTGCCGGGTTGGTCTATGAAGGCCCAACCCACCCGACGAGGGATACCCGAGCTAGGTTGAACCCGGGTTGAGGTAGGTCAAGTTAGGGTTGACCCGTCTAACCCAGCCTATTTGTTCCACCTCTAAATTCGTCCACTTTAAGTATGCTTTTTGCTCACTTGGAGGACTTCTAGTGACCTCCGTTCTAATTCTTCTAATCCATATATATTATTGGGCCTTGGAGATACTGTATAGAAGAAGAATAAAGTTAGGCCATCTTGATCTTTGGACTTCTGTCTCTCTTTTTTAAGCCCAAAAATCTTCAAATACCATTGAGATTCATTATCATATCACCACATCCACAAACCAATTTCAAAACCATAATCTACATAAAAATATAGTTCCACACAAGAGGAATGTATATAAAAATGCTGTTATATATATATATATATATATATATAGAGAGACAGAGAGAGAGAGAAACACAAGCTAGGTCCAAAAGCATATACTACAAAAGTAGTTACATAGATCATACATTACATTAAAAAAAATAAAAGTTACAAATATATCTCCTCAAGTCTAGTTAGTAAATCCCAAAAAAAAGAAGTAAATAGCAGACTATACACACGGATAAGATCTCTCTATGCAGAACTATAATTTAAGATCAAGACCCCTGAATGTGCTAACCAAGACTGAGAACATTACTATAATTGCAGCTACCCTAAACAAAACTGCAAGTGACTGACGGCCTCGAAAAGCCTTTGAAATTTCACTATCCGTTGAAACGCTGCCATTCAATTTTCCATCAGGTCTATCAATTGTAGTAAGCTCTTCAGAAATATTACTGTTTTCCCTTGACTTTTCTGCAGCTTTTACTCCCTGCACATTTAAATATAATCGAATTCAGAATCTGAATATAGATAATATAAGAGCTTTTCATAATCTCCATTTAAAAACTTCTAACCTCTCTAACAAGGGGTTTTGATTCATATTCCTCTAGCATGTCGGTTTCAGCTCCTGACTCCTTGTAAACCACTGACCCAACTTGAAGTTTACTCTGCAGCCGTACTCTTCTTGAAGCAGTGCCCTGAGTTAACGAGCCATCATTCTTTTGATTACTCTGTCGTTGGCGTGTCCTAATCCTGATTCCAGTTCCAGCAACGTCATTGCTGCCGATTGCATCCATCTGATTGTTTAATTTATTGTAACGATCATAAGATTGGCCAGCGGCAGAACCAGATGAGAAAACATCCTGTTTGAAAGGTTCAGGCTCTAAGAAACACTGGTTTGTCAGACTTCTGTAATCTTCTGGAGGTCTTTCCATCTTAAAATGAGCAGCCTCAGACCACAATGAATTAGGAAATTCTGCCTCAGGCTGTTGCACAGGAGAACAATTATGTTAGACAAATACAAAATAGGACTATAGTAACACTGAAACCAAATCTTGACACAACTAAACAAGTTTGAGGGCAAAATGAAGAGTAATGCTACACATACGTACTCTCTGTTCAAACTCTGGCACACAAAATTAATGTAACCCTTCTCTTATATCATCATATCACAAACTCTAATTAATTCCCTTGATTTTTAACACTCCCTCTTCCATTGTGTGCGACATCAATTTGCAAACAAAACTTTGTATAGCAGTATTGCAAAATGAATAGCTCTGACTTACCAATGATTGGCCTACTTCTACATCTGACTCGCTGCAAGATCCACTGTCCTTAACAAGGGGCATGTTCTTAGGGGTCTCACTTTCAATGGTTGAATAATCGTCTGAAGTATTAAGAATAGAATCCAAGAACTGAGAAATATAAGCATTCTTTTCATAATCATCATTGACTGTGCAAGGCATATAAGAAGATTGTATCTCCCCTGGCATGGGTGAGTACAATGGGGGAAAGGGGATACACTCTTGTGGCTCCCACATTAGCGCATTTAACTCATCAAAGTCTTCATCTTTCATCTACAAAAAGAACATAAAATACATTACTCATTCTACAAATGAATTGAAAAGTTGCATAAATTATATGAAAGCCCATTAGGTCCAAAAACAACTTTTCACTACAATCCTACCAAAAAACAAAAAATATATATATATAATCTTTAGCAACTCAAGGTCTTCATCTTGTCATCTGGAAAAAAAACATGACTCATTGTGCAAATGAATTAAAAACCTATTTTATTAAAGTTTTTTACAACATTTCCAAACACAATTTTCATATTCAATCCTAAAAACTACTATAATTTTTTTCTTTTTTTAAACAAGTCTGCATTAAACAAATCAAAGCCTCCTCTTTTATCTAATTAAGTAAATAATTACATTATTCATGATGCAACGTATTGCCAAATTACATAAATTATATGAAAACCCATTTGGTTAAAATTGTTTAAAACATTTCCAAACACAAATTATGAACACCATCCTAAAGAATTGCAAAATCAGATAAAAAAAGCCCCTAAGATAATAAAAATATTAAGATATAACACCAGTTCTCAAGAAACCAAACGGGCTATTATAAATTTGAAATTGAGATCGAGTTGAATGTTAATACCCCAGTAACAGTTTCTTCTTCGACCACTCGAACATCAGAAGTAGTTCCGGCAGCAAGCGAAGACTCAACAATTATGGGGTTATTTTCAGGTTTAACTTCCAAAACAGGAAACTCAGACTCCTTCTCGGGAGATGACATGGCAGCTTCACCGTCACCTTCAACTCCAACTTCAATCTCAACACTCTCATCTTGTTTCTTAAACAAACGACAAAGCACAAAAGGGCTCTGCAAATAAACCCAACAACAAAACAAAAACATAAATCACACAAATTCAAAAACCCAAAGGAAAAATTCAATCAAACAAAAACAAAAATTCAAAAACCCAAAGGAAAAATTCAATCAAACCTGTCCAGGTAAAGTGCCATCAAGATCCTTCAAAGTTGGACGATACTCGTGCATAACCCAATTGGTTCTCTTCCCCTTTGGAGCTCGTCCAGTATGAAACACAAGGGTCTTCTTCATCCCAATTAATTTATTTCCCGATTTTATTTTCCGATCTTTCCCAGTTGCTTTCCAATACCCAGCATTTGTTGCTCTGTTCAATCTTTGCCCATTTGGGTACTTTCTATCTTGCGGGCAAAAGAAGAACCACTCTGGATCATTCGTCTGAATGGCTGATAAACCTACAAAACCAACCAAAAACCCATCAATTAAATCAAGAAAATCGAAACAATTTTTAGTAAATTTGAAACAATTTTTAATAAATTTGAATACCAGGCAAATCCCACGGCTCCCGTTTACAAACATCAATCTCACTAATTACTTTAACTTCTTTGTGATGGCCGTTGATCTTATATCTAAGGTAATAGTTAACCAACTCTTCATCAGTGGGTCTGAATCTGAAACCTAATGGAAGTGAATTAAGTGAAATTGCCCCCATTTCTTTCCTTTTTTTCTTTTTTATGAAACCCTAAATCAGAAGTAAGAGTGATTATGAATGAATTGGGGTAATTTATATAAGAATTATGAATTGGGTTTCTTGAGGAAAAAGAATTAGCCAAAGCCAAAGCCAAACACTGAAGACTTTTTTTTTGGTCTTTTTCATGTACAATAACAATAATAAACACCCGCCCGCGTTTTGAAACCCCTGTATATTCCGCGTATGATTTGTCTGATTTTCCTTTTTTGACCCTGTTTCTTTAGTTTACTTGTTCGGAATCTACAGGGATAGACTTGGGAAAATAATTCAACGACCCTGGTTTTGCTTTTTTCGACGAATTATGTTCTGACACGTGGTTTTCCTTGACATCACATCGTACAATGGGCCCCACCACTTAGGACTCGCCGACTTGGTAAGAAATTTGAGGAAGCTGCTATGAAGCTTAGTAGTTAGTACCAGCTTCCTGCCAAATTAATAAGATTAAATACCTTTTTAACCTTGAAGTTTTAACCAAATGTTTTTGAAAAAGTAACATTGACACCCTTAAAGTTGATGGCAGTAATATAAAATCTAGTTGAGAAAGGTAAAGCTGATTATTCAATCATGTTTAACTCGAATTGAAATTTAAAAAAAAAAAAAAAACTGTTTTTGTATTATATTAAAAATGAATAATTATATGTTCCACCAAATAATCTAACTGGGGGTTTCTATAAGTTGGATGATGGTAAACTGTTAATTAAGACCATAATCCAAGGGATAGAAAAGAAAAGCCCAATAAGGTTATTATGTTAGATTCAGACATCCTATAATACAACCCATAAGTCAATGCCAGCTGTTATGAAAACATGATATTGCAAATGTGAACTATGAAGAAGGAACAATTCCACTTATAAATTCCATTAAAGATTGGCCCTGCTTACTTTTATATTGCAAATGTGATATTTGTAATTTTATGGACCTAAAAAAAAAAAATATATATATATATATTTAAAAATATATTAGAAATATCTAATTAATCATTATATTTAACCATAAATAAATAAAAAAAGGTAGAATAGACAATATCCATTCCTTTCACTCAATAATGCTTTTCTTATAGTTATGGTCAAGATTGTGTGGTTGGGTTGGGTCCCTACTTTCTAGGATTAGGATTATCAAAATTAAATTAAGGTATCAACTTAAGTTCCCAAAAATTATGCACTCTCTTTTACTTTCATTCTTTTTAAATATTTTATTCACTGTAAAACAAAAAGAGAAGCTTTTCTTAGAGTTTTAGGTTTAGCATATGCAATTATTGACTCTCTGTTCTTCACAATCAAATTCAATTATTAGAAACAAAACAATAGACATGATCTTTAACTTATGTACAACTAGGAATCCATATAATCTTTAAATTTATTACTTATAATTATAATCCTTCAAAAATGTGTTAAATCAACTTTATTAGAAAAGTAGCAAAGGCCATAATTATTATGTTCTTATAAAGTATAAGACAATTTTTTTATATCTTGTAATGAGTTGAAACAAAGAAGAAATCCCACTAGTATACGTAACTTGACTTCTTTTATGCTGTCTTCAAATATTAGACCTCCACTAAATTAGTAGCCTTCACTAATTAAAATTAAATGAAAAGGAGGCAACCACACCCTTTTAACTTCTACAATGTGAATGTTTTTTTTTATCTTATTGCTAAACTCATAGGGATCTTATATTAAATTCATATGTTTGTATGAAATATTGTATATTAATAAGATAATATTTCTCTACTTCAAATTAACCAAAGCGTAATTTTATATTTGTTGGTATTATACTATACATTAAATTGGTTTTATTTTTTACTCTGCCGTTTAATGACTTAATTTGCTATTCTCCAATCCCAAGGCAAACAAGGAAAATAATACGTCGTAGTGTACCGAATTTAGATCAAATGACGTGATAAAATCTGATTGTTGATTAAAATTAATCAACGGTCAAGATTTTATCCTATCATTTGATACATAAATTCGGTACACTACCGTCAGTGACTGTAGCATTACTCAGAAATTAATCAACGGTCAAGATTTTACCCTATCATTTAATAATAAATTCGGACACTACCACCGTGACTGTAGCATTACTCGGGCAATCAATCCAGACACTTAAACTTAACGTAATGCATGCAAAATTTCGGACATAAATAAAAAAACACATTGATCTAAATCCAGATTCTTTGGACATTGTATTGTAATCCTTAATCCAAACCATTGAAAAACGTTTTACATCAAACATGCATTCTTCAGGTAAAACCAATTCTTTGCTCTTGATTTTCCTTTACAGCTCCTCGTATTTCATTACCGATTTCATCTGTTTGATGTGATGAGTTCGTTACTGCAAAGCGTCAATGTATCACCATTATTTTTAAATCAACGTTTCATGAAATAGCATAATTTAAAAGGTAAACCCGACATATTTCATGAAATTTTGAATGAAGAAAGAAAAAGAAGAAGAGATAATTTAAGTGAACGTTAGAACCTCAGAAATTGTTTCTTCTTCAACTAATGAGGCAGCGTAGTCCACCACTGAGAATTACGGCCTTTTGAGGTTCAGCTTCAGCACTATCATCTTTTGTAAATAAACCCACAATAAAACAATAACATAAATCACAAAAAATTTAAAACAAAAACCCAAAGGAAAAATTCAATCAAACCTGTCACGTAAAGTGCCATCAAGATCTTCAAAGTTGGACCATACTCGTGCACAACCCAATTGGTTCTCTTCCCTTTGGAGCTCGTGACGTCCAGTATTGAAAACATGGGTCTTCTTCATCCCAATTACCTTATTTCCCGATCTTTCCCAGTTGCTTTCCAATACCCAGCATTTGTTGCTCTGCTCCATCTTTGCCCATTTGGGTACTTTCTATTATGCGGGCAAAAGAAGAACCACTCTGGATCATTCGTCTGAATCGCTGATAAACCAACCAAAACCCATCAGTTAAATTAAGAAAACTGAAACAGTTTTTAATAGAGTAAGTAAATTTAAAAATAAAATAAAAAGATGAATGAGAATACCAGGCCAATCCCATGGCCTCCCATTTAGACATATCAATCTCACTAATAACTTTTAACTTTTTTGTTATGGCTCCCATTTAGGTTTTTTTCGAAAACCTAAATCAAAAGGCAAGAGTGATTCCGTTTCAGTTGGAGTAAATTTATGTTGTGGGTTTCTTGAGGAAAAAGATTATGACCCTGTTGCATCTATATATTTTTCTTGCTCGGAATTCTCCAGAATTATTCAATGACCTTCGTCTTGTGTCTATCGACAAATTATCTCTTGACACGTTAGCTTTTCCTGGCCCCACCACCGATGACTCGGAAAGTAATGGGAGGAAGCTGATATTAATCAGGTTGCGTTAAGTATTTGAAAACATTAAAAAGTATTGGAAAATACATGTGACTAAAGTCTATTTGTGTTTAAATTTTGATTAAAAGGGTAATTTTGAAATTATAGAAACTATTTGGGTTATAATGTAATAACATGCTATTGTTTTTAGAAAATTTCAGGGAGCCGTACGGATTTATTTGATGTGAATGTGAAATTAATGAGTGGAATTGTTGCTTGTTTTCATAACAGCTGGCAGTAGGTTTATGAATTGTATGATAGATTAGGGAGAATGACATTTTCCCAGTTCGCACCTGAGGTTTGGCGAAACGACACTTTCCCACCTATCAAGTTTCAAAACGACACTTTTCCACGCTTCGTTAGGTTCTGTTATGTTTTCTGTTAATATTTTACTAAAAAGGCAAAAAATACCTTTAAATATTTTACTTTATAAAAATTTTATTATTTTTTAATTAGTTAAAAAATTAAATATTAAAAAGTCAAAAAAGAAAAAATAGTTAGCTTCATCTAAAAAGTTAAAAGTAATGCTATGACATTTTATTTAAAGTTAAATGACTTTAATATTTATTTATTTATAATGTCATCAATATCTCATCATTATCATTTAATAATCTACTAAATTTATAATGTTTTTTATTTTTACTAATTAACATAAAAAATTAATATTCCTAATTAATTAAATAAACAAAGAAAAAAATGTATCTTTACACTTGGACTAATAAATAATCAAATAAAGACTTTGACTTAACTAAATTTTAATTTATAATACACTAATTAAGAAATAAACTATTTAAGATCGTTTTCGTCTTTTCAGTCAAATATTAACAAAAAACACTAATAGAACCTAACGACGGGTGGGAAAGTGTCGTTTTGAAACTTGACAGGCGCGAAAGGTCATTTTGTCAAACCCTGGGGTGGGAAATTGTCGTTCTCCCTGTAGAATAAACATAGATACATGTTTATGCTAAAAATCTTTTTCCATTTCATGTGCAAGTTGGGCCCTACAAAGTGGTATGACTCATGCCAAAGTGAAAAAATTAAATAACTCCACTTTATGCACTCATCATATGCGGTACGACTCCCTTTTTTATTAACTGAAAAAAGTATTTGCTTTAAAAGATTTTAATAAATAACCCCCCTCAAGTATAATCAAATGACAAAGCCCCCCTTTGGTTAGAGAAATAATAAAGCTAAAGAGAAGATCCGAAAAGAATACAAAAGAAAGCAAGAGAATAATGAATAAGAATACCACTTCCTTATTTGATAATCGGTTCCTTACAATAATCCACATTTTGAAGCAATTCTCAATTCTCGTACATAAATGGAGCTCTATTTATTTACTAGTAACAAGCTAAAGACTTTCTTTATTTATTTTACATAATCTGTACACTTACAATTTCTTTCATCAGTATCCCTATTTGCTATAACAAATCTCATGTTATTTCTCAAGCCTAAAGAGTAGTGCTTCCTTCCACCATGCACCATATCCCATTTCCATGTTAACCTGCAAAATAAACCAGAGCTCTAACTAATATGCGATAACTAGTCTGAAATGCCTTTGGATGATAGAATAACAACCTTTGCAAACTATCATCTCCCATTTTTTAGCTTGGCGAGAAAGTTGATATTCCATTCAGCAGCAACTGTAATGCTGGAATCATTGAGCATGGCTCATACTTTCGTGATAAGTCCAATCCAACTTATGATCCATATGAGGTTCGTCAGGATAGCTGAGAGCACGGCATTCTTATTGGTGAGAACACCACAGTAAGTCGGGCATGATCAGAAAGAGAATAATTTTCAGGCCATCTTCCTTTCTCCACTTCAGGAGGGAAGAGAACTGCATTCTTCACGCTAAAACCAATTGTTTGCTCCTGATTACCCTTTACAACACCTTCTCGAACTTCATTACCGGTTTCATCTCTTTGATCTGATGATGTAGGATTCCAAATCCGTTGCTGCAAAGCCAACATTCCAAACCTTCAGTGCCATCATCATCATTGCTTAAAACAATTGTTTCATGAAACATCATAATTTAAAAGAAATGATAAGCTAATGGTGTTGACATCTATTTAGGTAGTTGTTTGGATATAACCACGTGATAACAGAAGGCACGGTAACCCACCAATAACAAAAATTCTGTATCAGTTCTAATCATCTGAAACTCATCAGGTTTACAATATGTAAGAACATGAAAGTTGACTTGATCAAGAAAAAAAGAAGAAGAGAGATTTTAAGAGTAGATATTAGGCAACAAAGCAATAACCTTTATTACTCATTAAGTTCGTCTATCCACATGAATCCTAATAGAACACTCAGATCCAACGATAGGAATAAAATCCTAAATGTGATGAGAATCATGATCTAAACAGATAAATAAATCCTACTTAAGTGTTGTGTATTAATCCCTATAGGTTTCTAGAGGAATCTCCATCACATTTGTATATCTCCACCATGCTCCAAATGCATCAACTAAGTAAGAACTATGTAGAACAGTTTTTAGAGAAATTACCTTAAATTCTTTATAATCAACAACACCATTTCCATCGATGTCTGCTTGGACCCACAAGTCCTTAGTCTCTTCTACAATGAGACCATGGCAGTGGCCAGTTAAATTAAGCTGAAGAATGACACATGGAGGATCACACTCAATAACAATGCATGATAATGAAAACAAAATGAGTTTTTCTTATATAATAAATAATTGATACCTGTTGAAGAGCTTCGCAGAAACCTGAGTAGGTAATGCAGTCAGCATCATTATCAGCCTTCAAAAAGGCAAATGCATCACTTTCTGTAAGAGAAGCTCTCCGAAGTAGATACTGAAAATAAGAAGGCACATGATCTGAGAAAAAAGGCTAAGAAGGCACATGATCTGAGAAAAAAGGCTAAGAAGGTGCTCTTTCCCTTTATATCTCATATTTTAGATATAATTACTCAAAAGTGAAACCATTAATTCTCCTCTTCCTGTTAAGCAATTAGGCTAAGTGGTGCTATATTCTAAACAAGGAGGCTTATAAATGCACAAATGTCCCATATGAATCAACCACAAATCAATAAAAATAGACAAAGCTTGTAAGTTAAATAATGAATTATTCAAACTTTAAAGTTAACCATACTGTGAATATGCTCACATCTAGAAAGCTTAGCACATAAATTATTTAACAAGCAACAATTCCGGGAAAAAAAAAAAAAGGTATTTGGGGATTTAAGATTTATGACATATGCCTGCCTGCTTCAAGAGACAATAGTGATAATACATGTATAATTTTTTACAAGCTTCCAGTGAATTTAGGAAGGGCATCTTCATCATTAGTTTTTATTGACAGACAGGACAAATGTCACCCAAAGTGGATCAAAATTAGATATTGAATTTAACTCTCACAATCTTGTTCAAGATGAGAAGTAGTATGTGAAAATGAAATACACAATAAAGAAACCTTAATCCCATCATGGAGGGAATATCTATGGACTCTTACGCATAAAGAAAAAATCCCAATCCCCTCCTCAATATTCTTTATTCAGAAGTCTTCTGCAAGCTCCTAGCATCCTAACCATTTAACAAGAACTATCAGTTCAAATTCTGAAAGAAGGCAGAAGGATTTAAGAAAGGGAATCACTTCTCCAAGAACTGCCACTCATTGCCCAAATCACCTCACAACGCACTACTTATGAAGAAGCTTGACAGAATTCTTTATATTTAACTTCTTATTCTTATGCCAATAAATTTGGCATCCCAAATTCAAACCGTGAAAATTGTATCCTGGAGTTTTGCACAAGAAACTGGGCATATCAAGAGCATAAAAAGACCAATGTGATTCTTCAAAAAAAAAGAGTGATTAAGCGCAAACAAAAACGTGGTACTAGGGTGTTGGAAGAGAAAATCTGACCTTAAACATGCCAAATACTGCTTCACTCCAGCTTGTTTTTAGTAATTTACGGTATTTATTGGGATTAAGAAGCCATATAAAATCCACACCACATATGTTACCCCGATGATTGCGGTGGCTAACCCACTGTGTGAAACACAATGAAAGATATGAGTAACATACTAAACAACTGAAAACCTTAGTGAGTCTTTCTACCAAAAGGAAATAAGACTCAACATGTGAACATGAAGATACTGACCTTATGCGCATCTGCATCTGTGTACTGGTGAGCAGTATCATATGATGATACAAAACCCTGGGATCTGAGAAACTTGTAAACATGCCCACGTTTGCTCCCATTCCAGTCACTATATAAAGTACAAAATTCAAGACAAAGAAAGCACATGAGTGTAGTTCAACAAGATCAGGGAAACAATTCAAATAGAAGTTATGTAATCATCAAATATTCACCCGCATAGAATGATGGGAATGGGATTAAGATTGTATTCTTTCTGATACGATTCCACATGTTGCAGAATTTTGTATACCTAAATATAAAATAATGTATTAGCACTAAAATAAGAGACAAGGGCAAGTGGTGTGGCTACTTGAGCCGCTGCTATTAAGATAAGATATAAGTCAAAACACAGAATCAGATATTAAATTCACCTGATGCAATCGTACTATACAAAGACTAGAATCATGAGGAAATAACAAGTGGGTGTTCACAATAAGAAGTTCTTGCCGAACATCGCCATTTCGACACTGTGAAAAGGGGGCTACTAATTCAACATGTAACAACTGAGCAACACGATCTCCACAATCATTAAAAAGCAATTGCCTATAGTTGATAATTCTGAAGTGGTCCTTGTGCACAGCAGTTAGCAGACCTACCAATAGCAAGAAACACACAGTAAGCTAAAGGAATAAACAAAAATCAGGCGCCAACATAACATTGCCTATTCCTTTGAAACAAACATATTCACACGCTAAAAACATCTTCCCCCGTCTAAAAACTTTTGAGTTGGAACAAACAAAGAACGATTCATCTCACATCATCTTTGATAATTCACATAGAAACCCAAACTTAAAAAATGTCACCATTCTGAAGGGTAAAAATCAACTCTCTCAAACTCCTTTATACAGACATTTGCTTGTTATCCTTTCAAAAAGTCAGGCACTATAATTTTGTATTGCTTCAAATTTGGATACAAAATTATCATAACCCGTCTTAGGAAAAATTATCAAAAAGTCCAATACTATTATATAAATATGGATAAACAAAGCAAGAAATAGAATAAATGGAAAGAAAATACCATCACCACGATTGTTGGTTCGGCCTAGTTTGAAATGGAGATAACCAGCTTCCCCCAATCTCTTCTCATAAATATTAACAAGCTCTTCATTTCCCACCCAAAACTCCTGAATCAATCAATTCATACCCATTATATCATTATACTACATTCATTTAAAAAGAAAAATTCAACCAGAATATTAAAAAAAGAAAAATTACAAACCTGAAGACATATAATTGAAGATCTTTCACACAACAACCAGTCCAATATTCTTTGATTCCTGGCCAACCAATAATCCCTATAGTCACTTTCACGGCAACTCTGATCCTGAACATTAATATTCAAATTTAAAACAAACCCGTTTCACAAAAATGTAAAAAAAGAAAGAAAAACAGACCTCATTGGAGAGACGCTTGTAAATGGGAGCAAGAATGTTGAAGGTAGTACAAGTAATGCATGGCTGTTGATGTTGATGGTGGTCTCTGATTGAAGAAGCTATTGCATAACTTCCAATTCTTGAAATTCTTCCTTTCATTTTTCTTCTCATTCTTCTTATTTTTTCCTAATAATATTTGAATATAATTGTTGAAAGAAGAAGTGGGATGTTGATGTTGTTTGAAACGTAAAACGAAAAGCCACCATCAAAAAAACTGCCAGCGGCTTGCGTGGTTGTGTGTTTTCAAAGAAACGAAAACTCAAAATGGTTTTGTCAATAATATTAACTATAAAGATAACAACAGAAATTTTTTATTTTTATTTTTTGTTTTTTGTTTTATTGGGTTTGTTCGAAATGGAATTGGAATTGCTGTCATTTTATTTATAGTCTCTCGTCTCTACTAAAAAACTACCGCTTCATTCGCTTTCCTCCTCTTTATCCACCCTCTCGTTTTTATTTATGGGTTAATGACAATTACCCCCTTGTAGTTATAATTAAATACATAAATTCCCTTGTAGTTATAGTGATAACAGAAATTCCCCTAACTATTAAATTCGTGGTGTTAAAATAAATGATAAAGGGGTAATTCAGTGATTATTTATTAATACCAGACAACTAACAAGAAGAGAATTTTTGTTGTTTGATTAAAACTTTGGGGGTTGAGAAAACCCCTTCATTTATTTTTTATTTATTTAGAGTTAATTACATTTTTTCACTTGAGAAGGTATGATTAAATAACAAAAATCTCTCCTGAGTTTTTTGAAATAGCAGAAGTTTCATTGTCATTAAATTTGAGATGTTAAAGTAAACGATATAAGGACAATTTGATCAATATCTATTAACTCATAATATTGTAAGTTCTAACGACTTACCAACAACATATGGATTCTTGTTATTTCAAAAACCTAAAGGGAGTTTTTTATTTAAACATACCTTGGGGGGATTATGTATTTAACTCGTTTACTTATTCTTTTTACTCATTAGCTTTATCATACTAGACTTACTAGTTACATAAATGAAAATAATTATAATCAACTTAAAATATTATTAAATAATTATTTATCTTAATGTTTAATAAATATTTCCATACAATTTTATTTATTTGATCGTTTATTATGTATTACAATACATTTTTTTTTTTTTAAAGTAATTTAAGACTAGAAAACCATCTATCTAACCATACAAACTTAAATCGACCCCTTAAGAGTTAATTATATAACAAAAACCCATTGAGATTTCATAAATAACAATAATTTCTTTCTATCATTAGTGAAAAATTACAAGATATGCTATTACATGTTGTTAAATAGTTTAACTAATTGCCTTTCTACTATTTATTTTAATGTTTAAGGGTGTGTTTGTTTTAGTATTTTTGATATTTTAGAGTTGGGTGGGAATAACGATGTAAAATTTAAAAATTAACAAGAACACCCCCTAGGTTTGTTAAATAACTGAACACCCCTAAAATAAAAACATTAAAAAATACAAAAACACCCTCACCCACCCATTAAATTCTGGCAACCAGCTACCACCGCCGAAAAAGGCCAGATCTACGGTCATATCTGGTCATGTTTGGTCATCAACGACGGCCATATCTTGGCTATCGTTGATGACTAGGTACTGCTAAAGATTTGGCCATCAACAGCCAGATCTTTCGTCGTGGATCTTGCTTTTTCTGGCCAAATTCACGGTGGATCTAGCTGAAAAATGATAGATCAGCGCACTACCGGCCAGATCCAGCCGGTAGTGCGTCATTATACCAGTTTCCAACCACCTTCTGGCGGTGGTAGTCGGAATTTGATAAAATGTGAGTGGGTGAGGGTGTTTTTGTCAATTTCTAAACTTTTTTTTTTTTGGTATTTAGTTAAATTAATAAACTTAAGGGGTTTAAAATGTTGAAGAAAATATAATAGTATTTTCAAAGTAGGGAAATAAACTGGGCTCCGTTTGGTTCACAATTTTGTGTTTTTGGGAAAAGTTTTTTGAAAAAAGTTAAGAAAAAAGTTGAATTGGGCGGGTATTACGATGTAGGATTTATAAATTAATAAAATACCCCCTATATTTGTTTTTTTACAAAACACTCCTTATAATAAAACATTAAAAGTTAACAAAAACACCCCCAATCCACCCTCAAATACGGACAGCCGGCCACCACCGCCGGAGGGTGGCCGAAGTCGCCGTAACAAAAACATTAAAAATATTTAGGGGTATTTAATTGAATTAATAAATTTAGGGGGTTTAAAAAATGTTGAATAAAGTTAAATAATATTGTGAGTTTTTGGGTATTTTACTGTTTAACTTTTTTGGGAATACTAAAAGTAGTGGCTTCGTTTGTTTCAGTTTTGAGAATACTATTATTAGTATTCTTAAAAAAGTTAAACAGTAAAATGTCATTATCCCCAAAATATTATTCTATATTTTTCAATTTCTTTTAAACCTCCTAAATTTATTAATTTAACTAAACACCTCTGAATATTTTTTTTAGAAATTACAAAGACACTTCGGCCACCCTTCGGCGATGGTGGCCGACTGTCCGTATTTGAGGCTGGGTTGGGGGTGTTTTTGTTAACTTTTAATGTTTTATTATAGGGGTGTTTTATAAATAAACAAACATATGGGGTATTTTATGAATTTATAAATCCTTTATCGTAATACCTGCCAAATTCAATTTTTTTTAACTTTTTTCAAAAACCTTTTCCCAAAAACGCAAAAATGTGAATCAAACGGAGCCAGTATTCCCAAAATCCAACCAAACGAAGCCCTGGTATTTTAAAAATAGTATGAATAGGATAGTTAAAAATATTTAAACAAACAGACCCTAAAATTTTATGATATGGATTTTTTTTATTATTATTGTAATATCAAAAGGATTTCCTTTAGGGATTATCGTTATTAAGTTTTTTCTTCATAAGATTTATTATAATTTTGGCAGTGTACTAACCCTAACTCTGAAAGGGAAGTTTTTGCATTTATGTAATTGCTTCAAATATTAAGGGGGACATGGACATTAACCCTACTTTATCAAAATCAATAGTTTAAAAAAAAAAAAAGTATTTAATTCCTTTAATCTCCTCAATCCATTTGTTTAATCTTATGGTCCACCTTTTTCCTTTTCACTTTTACAATCATAAATAATCATTCTCGTCTTACGTTTGTTAATGTTAATTTATTTTTCTAAAATATTAAATTATAAATAGGACTTTTGATGGTGGGGCGGCAAAAATTTGTTGATTGGATGTCAAGTTTCTGCCGAAAGTTGAGAGCTGCCGCTACAAGGAACAATTAATGGTTATTATTATTATCATTAATTTCACTATTTAATTCAATACACTTTTTCTTTCACTTTCTTATTAAGAATTATTTCAAAAAGATGTTTTTCAGTAAAATATCATCTCAATTTTGAAATCGTTTCATTTATTTCAAAGTCATGCCGTTTATTTATATTTATTAAAGAGTAAGCAACATTTGCCAACCCAAGGCTTCGCGAATCTGCAGTTTCTAACCATGGTTTCATAAATTTTAGATTCCCACCTTTAAATAAATAAAAGATTGTTTAATTTAATAGTTAAAGCGTAAAATGGTTAGCACAACAGCCACCCCACCCCTTTCTCTCCCAGATTTTAGCCGAATTTCTACCGAATTTTGCACCAATATCGGCCAAAATCATCTCCCCATCACCAATTTCACCTTTCCCAAGTTTGATTGGTTCGTTTTCGGACTGATCTTGCACCATTTTTGCATTGTTTGTGTGACCCCTAACCTTGCTCGACCGACTATTCTCATGCCTAATCTAGACGATTTTCGACGTCAATTAAACCACCCAACTCCATCATCATCTTCCTCTCACCATCCTTTTCAAAACCCCCACCAACACTACCACCGACAGTTGTCGTTTTCACCTTTCCAGACTACATCTCTCCATCGCAATGCGTGCTTGAGTTTGTTGCGTTTACACTGACTCCACGTCCATTGCCACCATCAAGCTCCTTTCTTCTCCCTTGACACACCCTTACCTTCTCAGGTCACACCAGTCACCGTTTCCTACTTGCGATCCTCGTTCCTTTACTGGATTTGTGAGTGTATGGTGGGTTTGGCTGGTGGTTTGTGGTGGAGTTTGTGAGTAATTTAGTGGTGGTTGTTTGGTGGCAGTGGGGCTGACTTTGGGGTTTAGAGGGATTGCAGGGGTTGTGGATGGGTGGAATGGTGGTGAGTGGTGGTGGTGGGCTCAATTTGTGGTTGTTTTTGGGTGGGTTTGTGGTTGAGTTTGTGAGTGATTTGGTGGTGGTTTGTGGTGGTAGTGGGGCTGATTTTGGGGTTTAGAGGGATTGCGATGCTAGTGGGTTGTTACTTTGGGGCTTCGATCGTGATGGTGTTGAAAGGTGGTGGTGGTGACTTGATGGTGATAATGATGGTGGTTGGGTGGCTGTGTAATAAAAAGGGGCAGTATAATAATAGCACCCTTTACAACTAAATCAGAAATCAAAATTCATTAACAGTATTAATTTAAGGATAAAAATATGGAATTTAAGAAACCATGGGTGGGAACTTGAAGATTAGCCAAACCTTGGGTGGGTAAATGTCATTTACTCTTTATTAAATTAACTATTATATGCACTTAACACACTTATTTTACATATGAATTTGTATATGAAATTTACACCTTTATTATTATTATTATTAAATTAAATTAAATTATTTTCAATAGATTAATATTTGAGTTAAGAATGATATTAGTGTATATAAAATTAGAGTAATGTTACACATACAAAGTTTGGGATCTCAATTTTGGATCCCAACACATGTGACAATTAAGTTGACAAATTAACTCACTTATTTCATCATCCTATGATTAAGGAGATGTTGCTAAATCAATTACTATATGGGTTTATATATGAATTTGGGATCTCAACTTTGTATATGTAACATTATTGATAAAATTATTTTCATGAATTAAGACTTAAGGCTCGAACAAATTTAGCTTAATTCCCAAAATGTCAAAGTTTTATTTAAAAGACCTATGTAACCGTTAAACCCTGTGACTTATCATTTCTACCTTTAATGAAATAACAAAGAGTTTGTTTTGTAACATAAAAGCAATGTTTTAAAACCCAACTTGGGATTAAACCCAGCAAAGTTGCTAGGTTTCGGGTTGACTGGTTTAATTGGTTTGATCGCTGGTCAAACCAGCTGACAACAAATTTTAAAATTTAGCAAATACACCCCTAAACATGTTAAGTCTATATAGGTTTGAAATTTAGCAAATACACCCCAAATACAAATCGGTCGATGACTGGTTGGCAAGGGCGATACCCCAAATGGAACCTCAATCGTCCCTTGAGCCCATTCCCCTAAAAATCTACCCAAGATCTGGCCAATATTGATTTGATTTCGATCAAATCTCACCGATACCAACATCAGCATTCCAAGCCATATCTCACCTACGTCAGCGTCACAACCCTCCCCATCACCCCGAAAACACTTTCCTCTTCCTTCTGACCAAAACCCACCTCATCCACCCCTATTAGCCTCGCCAATAGTTGGCAAAAGCCAGTTTTTGCCGCTATTGGTGTTTTTCAATTTCCGGTTAATTTACTCATTGGAAATAAAATTCGTCGCCACCATTACACTCACCGACACTTTCTCTTCAAAAGCACCAACATCTCGACCTTCAATTATCCGTCGATCATCATTCCAAATTCTAGGACTTTGGGTGAATAGGAATAATGTAAACTCGACACGGTGAAGCTTCCGGGTCCCAGTTAAACCGGCTAGGTCGGGTCGGGTTTTAAAACAGTGCATAAAACATTCGAGTATATTATACTAGACTTTATAGTCTAGCATTTAACATCTGATTAAAACATCCTAAATCATTCTAGACTTAGTAGTTTAACGTATTTTGTTTTAATTATTTTTTAGTGAAGGCATTTAAATTAACTCATAATTTTATGGTTATTTATGTTTTGTAAATATGAGCTTAACATTTTGAGATCAAAATTTGTTATGACTATATATGATAATTAATCATAGTGACTTTAATTTTCTCTTTGATTATATGAATAAAATTGGTATTTGACGTGAGAGATCATGCTCTCTATATTCTAAAATATAAAATAACAAAACAGAAATAGCAACAAACTAGTGGTAAATGCAACTTGTTATTAACAACGCAAATGGTTTATGGACAAAGCAATCTCAGCCAAGAGAAAAGAAAAAAAGATCCAACTTTATATTTTAAAAGAGATTAAAGTGCCTTTAGGTTTTATATCATAGCCTCAAAAAGTAGAGCAAATGCGTGGTTTAATTGTATTGCATCATCTATATAGTAATATCTTTATATAAATCAAATTACAATGCAGCCCTTGAGGTTTGGGCTAATTTCTAATCCGAAATCTTTACAAATATATATCTTTTGTCATTTAATTAATAAGTTGTAGTTCAAACACCAAGGGGTTAGTCTAACAAACAAGAAAGTTTGCTCACTTCATTAACTTACTGAGTTCGAACCATCTTAAGGTCACCTATGACATTTATGGCTTACCAGCTTGTAGGGTGTTCAATAGGTCTTAAGAATTAGTTGAGGTATACGCAAGTTAACCTGGATACCCCAACCATAAAAAAGGATAAAAAAAAAAAAGTTATAGTTCTTTGCAAAGATTAGTTTGTTGGTAGCACAACCGCGATACTTGTTTGTTATTCAACACACTAAATTAACCAACTTGATATGGTAGTCCAATGCGATGGGATACCACTCAACAAACACACCCATATAGCACTTCCGCAACTCATTGACTCTTAAATGAAAGGGGATGATTTACATATTTATGAAACATTAAGGGTGCTTATTATTTATTGTAAACCTCATGAGGGATATTGTAATATCCCTATAAATATTATATGGGCGTCGTTAGTTTTATTTACAAATGGTTTTGTGACGCCGGTTTCCTTTTCCATATATTAAATATTTAATTATAAATTGTTAAAAAGAAAAAGATGTTTCTAGTCAAACTTTGACACCAACATCCAGTACTTGTAGGTATTTATTTATTTATTTTTGTATACCTTATTGGTTCTAATTAAAACTTTATAATAAAATAAGGCATAATTAGAAACTTAGTTTATATATGAAGTGTTTTTTTTTTTTTTTCTTTTTGGTCCACATGCAATATAACTTTACCCAAGCCCATATGGATATTAGATGATGATTCTTGGGTTGATTGAATTACCCAGTAACATAGCCTTTTTTTTTTCGTAAAATGAAATAAAAAATAATTTACTTTAATTAAAACCTGTCATATTTTACATGTAAAGGAGTAATATATATATATATTTTCCCTAACTTTAATCTATGAGCAAGTATACATATGAAAAGAGTTAGAAATCTTATTTCAGTATAAGATTAAAGTTAGGGAGATTATTGCTAACCACCTCTATGGTTTCATTAATTAACAGGTATGCTAGCTTTCGCAGATTTAATCAAGCAATACTCCTAAATTTTAGAAAACTCATCACTAACACCCCTTCAAGCTAATTTTGTCTAATATTTTATATCTTTTAAAATAATTTTTTAATTATGTTAATTTATAATTTTTTTTAATGGTTTTATAGTTAAAATTTGAAGAAAAGGACACTTTTAACCTTAATTGGTAAACTGAAGTTAGACATAATCAGCTTGAAGGATGTTAGTGATGAGGCTTTTATTATTATTTTAAATCTAGGGTATTTTTTGATTAAATCTGTGAAAACATTAAAACAATTTTATATTGTTAATTAATGAAACTATAGGGGCGGCTAGTGATAATCTCCCATTAAAGTTATCCCGTTATTATTTTTATTTCAAAGAGAAAAGGTAGAATTAGCAAAAGATGTGCTTTGCATTAATTTAGTCTAGTCCCAATGGTCATATTTAACAAAAATGTAAAAGCATAATATTTTTCTTTTTTGTTTTCATGTAAAATAACAATCCTATTCTTAAGAGAATTAAATTGCAAGTCCCGAACAAAGTATTCAAAAAATAAAACTATAATAATGCTCATCAAATTTAAAATATAGAATTAATAAATATATACAATAATTTTAAAAAATAGAAAAGAAATTAGAAGAATTGGAAAAACAATTTTAAAATGAAATTAATTTTTTATTAGAAAAAGATAATTCAGGTAATTTACTTTTCAAATCTTTATTAAAATTAAATGAGAGAAAATGTAGATGTATTCACTCGAAATTCCTAAAATATTCATATTTATAAAATTGTTGGCAAAATTTTGAGGGGGCCGAAATAGGTATTTCACCTAAGATTGCATAAAATAATATTAAATTCTAATTAAGGCCAATGAGGTCAGGAGCAATTTTTCATACCCTTAAAACATTTTATTTCCTACCCTGACGATGGAATTGGAAGGACATTGCACATGGAGTAGCGCAAGAAAAATTGCACATGACCTGCATTCATTAAAAGTAGGTATAGGTTTGGTTTTTGTCTGCTTATTAATACTACATATTCAATATTTTTATATAATATTATATAATAAAATAAAATATTATGTGGGAAATATTATATCAGAATATTGCATGTGTAATATTAAATATATTTTAATGCTAAATATTTAAAAATTTATTATAAATAATAAATAATTTTTTGATTATCTTTTTCATTTTTTTAGATTTATATAGTTTAATTGTTAAATGTGATGGTATCACAGTTTATTAATATTTGTATACGGTTTTATTGATAAAACTTTAGCAGAAGAATGAATTATACTTTATCCAAGACATGAAAAATTTGAGAATAAGACTTTAGAATTTAATTTTCTTATATTTTATATATCATAAAAAATAATAATAATAATGTGTCAAATTATATGATTATGTTTAATATTATTGTGTAAAATTATTTATAAGAGTTGGATCATAATAGTTTAATTATAAGAAAATGGGAAAATTTTTAATGGGCCGGGTTTGAGTAATACGATAAAAGAATGTTTGGATCCAATAAGTAATGGGATTACATTTCACTGGAAAAATAAGATAAACTATTATATGCTCTATTGGTAACTTACAATGAGTTAGGGATTGGTAGAATCTAGTTGAACGTCAGAAATTACAATGGCCTTATCAAGTGTTGTCGGTAGAGCTTCTTCTCCTTGTGCATTTTTTTGAGTGAACTCCTTTGATTTTGCCCACAAAAAGGAGTACAACCCAGCAATTATTAAGAAGGAGCCCAACAAGCTGAAATCATAAATCAATATTAGAAAACAGAGAAAGGATATCTTCTAATGCTAAAATATTACAGTATTACCATACATACATTCCAAGTGTGATATCTTGACCAAGTAGGAGAGCATCTAAAACAGCTACAAAAATGAGTGACAATGGGTTGAACATAGGAGGATAAGTTGGACCTCTCTTTGCAATTGCCCTTGAAACTAAACAAAAGGTTGCTGCTGTGGCCAATGTTCCCTGCAAAATTTGATGAAACCCTTTTGGAATCTTTGAAAATCATTAAAATGACATTTTTGAAAGCAGAGGAAACTTACGGAGTAGAATATAGTAATCAATTCAAGATCCCAAGCTAATCTCCATGAAGGCATATCGGTGTGTAAGCATAATCCTATTACCAAGGCTTGCAAGGCTGCTATGATACATGTGAACATTGTTGCCGAATATTTGAATGGAAATACTTTGAGCAGTTTCACCTGCTTCAGAAGAAGTCTTAAAAACACTAAAAGAAGGTAATAAAATAATACATATGGAATGTTAAATTACCTGAACCATATACCAAGAAGCATAAGATAAGCAACTCCCCACTAGTAGTAAAGAGCCTCTAGTCCAGTGAGCTTTAGGTATCACATTTTCTGTGAGTTTAGTGTTTAGGTTGTTATGAAAAATATCAAATGATTTTCCCTTATAAACACTACTGGTCACTGCTCCTCCCGCACATAAAATTGCTCCCAATATTTTAAATTTCCCTTCCTTAGAATTCAATCTCAATTTCTCTATTCTGCAAAACAAAAAATATGTTTATTCTCTTGTTAATTAATTATGTCAAAATAATGTAATGTACCTTAAAATTGTTGACAAAACAAAGGTGATCACTGGTAGTAAGTTAAGGTAGTTGATTGCATACGTAGCTGTAGTGTCTCGGAGACCATAATAATATAGTCCCATTGCAGCTGTTATCCTGTAAAATGGATCATTAAAATAATTAAATTAGAAAAAAGAAATTAACATTAAGTAAGACTTTTATTTCCTAAGTTCAAGATACCTTTAAACTTGATACAAAATTTTGTGAAATGAACCCTTAAAAGGAATTTAGCATTAAGTCGTAACTGAATGAATCAAATTCAATTTTGTTTTTCTTGGGTATTGTAGAAAGAAAAGATTTTTGATCTTTTGACTATTAGTTTTTACTTGTTTAGAAAACTATATATACCCATTTGATTTTTTTATTTTAATTCTGGTCACCAAATCATGATGTCATTAACCAACTCTAATGAAATCATAGTCATTCATTTTTTATCCCCACAAATTATGGTCACACACACAAATTATGGTTGCATAAGTTTAGCCCACAAACTTTGTCCACCTGCTTAAGTATTTATGGTTGCATAAATTATGGTTGATTTGGTGGCAAGAATATAAATGAATGTATAAATTATGGTTGATTTGGTGACAAGAAAATAAATGAATGTATAAATTATGGTTGATTTGGTGACAAGAAAATAAATGAATGTATAAATATAGTTAATTTTATTTATTAAGACTTAAATGAGATGCAAAGTCCAATTTATATGTTTAATAAAGATCAAAAGTGGCATCCTATAGCACCTACTGCTTTTACGCACCTAAAATCAACGATGACTAAAAAAGGTAAAAGAAGAATAAGACTTACCCAGTTAAGGCATTGATGAAGAGCCAGAACCAAACAGAAAGATTAAGTTTTGATATGATACCCCTGCAATAATCAAATGATTCAAAAGCTGAATTGTGATGAATTTTTTTGAAGAAGAAGGGAAGAAAAAGAAACCTTTCCAAGAAGATAGCAAAAGGAGCAACGGAAAAAGCAGCAACGACATGTCGATAAGTCATTAAAGCAAAAATGAAAGTCCCTTGATTCAATATGATTTTTGAAAGCATTTGCATTCCTGTTACAAACAATTGCACCAAAAACATGCTCAGAATATCTTGAGACCAAACAAACCATTTCTTCATCTCTTTTCAATCAAAGAAAGCAAAACAAGAAATAAATGCAAGAGAGCATTGGATAATCAAAATGGTTACAGACAGAGGGTTTTTATGTTTAGTTCACTCTTAATTACACCTCAGTGATTCTGTACTATGTAGCACCATTAGACCCTATGTACACCCGCTCAAATCTTGCCATCTACACCCATATCTTAACAAACAAAATAATGATATATTATTTGATATGGTAAAAGATACCATTTAGAAAATTGCGGAAAAATACATGTTCATTTATTAAGAGAAAGTTAAAAATGTAAAATTGATTTTCTATTCTACTCATTCTTTTTACAATTTTATCCCTACAACGGGGGTTACTAATCAATCATTTCTCTTTGCCAATTGGAGATTGGTTCAATGTAAGCCTTGCAATCACCTTAACGATATTCGGTACCGTTAGGAGATACTGAAGGGTTTTTGGGCGTGTGGTTAAGTCTAATATGGAAGAGAAAAATTAGTGTTTTAAAAGTCTTACCCTTGGAGGATTTATGTAGCCTCAACCTCTTGATCGTGTGAAGATGTCGTGGTGCCTTGAATGTGAATTATGAAAGAAGTTATTTAGGTAGTAGTGGATTAACTTGGAGTAAGAGGCAGGCAGATACCGTTTATTAGAGACATTATCCCATTGGGCAGATTTGTCGGGTTTAGGCTCTAATTCGGCCCATTGTGGATATATTATTTATCTGCTTTTAAGTTTTTAAATACGGGCTCTATATTATATAGCATGTTATGCGCTGCTCTTCACTTATCAGTATTGAGATGCATGTTTGGGGGTGTTTGGTTCAAGAATGTTAGATTATTGGGAATATTAGATTATTGGGAATGTTAGATTACTGAAAAGATAAATTATCTTGAAAGATTATTAAGAATATTTAGAAAATATGTTTGGTTAGTTGGTGGGTATGTTATATTAATATGTTTGGTTATGGGGAATAAATTGGTGGGTATATTATTTAAATTACTAAATTGTCCCCCTTTCAAATATTAATATAATATTTTTTTATTATTCATTTTTGAATAATTTCTTTTAATCCCCAATATTTCAGATTTAGTTAAAACACCCCCGCTTATATAAAACTTTAATTTATTACGAAATCACCCCCACCTCCTGCTGCCACGGCAAACCATAGTCGGAAGTCTCCGAAAGTCCCCGTCAGTAGCTCGCCGTGACCAAGAGGCTTCAATATGGCCATTTTCGGCCACCAATATGGCTAGAAACGACCATATTAAAGCCTCCCAGAGCCTCCCACCGAATCTCGTTCTTTTTTAGGAACTCCGACGAATTTTCGACGGCGGTCAGTGGTGGCTAGGTGGCAGTGGTGGTGGTGGTTGGGTGGCAGTGGTGGTCTGTAAATTGTTTTAAATATAAGGACATTATTGTCTAAAATTTTAATTAAACAAGGGTAAAATTGAAATATGATATTAATGTAAATTTATATGAAAATGAGGGCATTATTGTCCAAAACTTTTATTAATAAGGGATAAAATTATAACAAAAAAAGATAACCCTAGTAATCTTAGAATACCTAAGAAAATAGAGGTAATCAGATTACTTCTAATATTACCAATAATAATTACTATTAGTATTTGAAGATTACCAGAATTTTATATTACTTGACAACCAAACATGGTAATCAAGTAATATAAGATGACATAACCCTAGTTATCTCACATTATCACCAACCAAACGCTTCCTAAGGGTTAACTCTTGTGTATTATTTGTAGTTTTTCCTAAATGGGACATGACCTAAAAGGCATATGTTTGAAGGCCTATTATTCGCTTTTGTTGATGAAGTAAAAACAGAAATTAATTCTCTTTTTCCTTAAATTGCTCATTACCATTTAATTTTGTCAATTCTGCATCTCTTATTACCATTGAATTACCGGTAATGAAGTATTCACAAAAAACATCAAAAAATTATTTATTTAGTACATTATGAAATAATGCTTTAAGTAGACTGGCAAAAAGGGACGTGCTCGCAGGTCTGTGGGTATCCAGGTAATTTTCAGTACGGGTTAACATGGTTAAGACTCGTGGAAAAATTATCTGTACCCGATCGGCCTGTTATTTTTACCAATGGGCCAGATGATACTTGTGGGCACCGCACAAGATAATTTTTTTTTAATAAAAAATTATCAATAATTTGTTATCAAACTCATTAATTAACTTTCAAGTTTTCTATTATCGGCTTCGAAAAACCTTGACATGACAGATGTGCCACATATTTCTAAGTTTATGCGGTAATTTTTGTAATACAATTTAACACAAGGATTGTTTTGAAAAATATTATTAAATTTTATTAAACGTTATCCAATAATTATTCTGATATTTTTCTTCTTGTGATTATCAACTTGAAGGGATAAAATTGGTTTATTATTGATAACTTATAGATAAAAATATGTTTAGTGTAGAGTTGATCCACTCTGATGAGCATATGCTAATCTCAATAATTTTAGAGATATTTTATAATTTACTTAAACATAGGAGCATATAAAATTAACCCATGATTTAAATACGTAAAATTACGGTGGAAATAAATTTAAGCTCATAAAAAAAGGATTAGGAAGTGGCTACAGTTTGATTCCTTAATTAAAAATACATTGCTTAAATATTGAAACACATAATGACTCTTTGCATATTCATAAAATTATTAAGAATACATACTATTAAATTATATTAATTTTGTAACAGCTATTGAGATATCATTGATTTAATTGTAAACAACTTGTATTTAACAATTTTATATGAAAAAAAAGGACCCATAAATTCAAAAAGAAAAAAAGGACTATTGAAATTGGACAAATTTAGTGTTTTAATTAACCAATTAACGATGTTTGAAAATAATGGGCTATTAAATATGCATGAAGATATGTTATTATAGTTGCACATATTAATTTAATATTAAAAATAGATAATTTTGATTAGATTTGGGTAAAGGGTGACCACGGATGCACCCATACTCGCATAATATTTTACTTACAATTAAGTCATATAATCAGACAAAAATTACACAAAATTCATGTAAAATGACTACTTTATCATTTGTTTTTTGCTTGATTGCATGACTTAGTTATAAGCATAATATTAGTCATTCCCTTACAATAATATTTTGCTTACAACTGAGTCATCAACCAGACAAAAACTACACAATATTTATGTAAAATAACTACGTTGTCCTTTGTTTTTTGCCTAGTTGTATGATTCAGTTGTAAACATAACATTGCTCATTCTCTTACAATAATATTTTGCTTACAAGTGAGTCATACAACTAGACAAAAACTACACATAATGTATGTAAAATGATTACTTTATCCTTTGTTTTTTGTCTGGTTGTATGATCCAGTTATAAGCATAACATTCCTCATTTCCTTACAATAATGGTTTGTTTACAATTGAATCATACAACTAGACAAAACCTATACAAAATTTGTGTAAAATGACTACTCTATTCTTTATTTTTTGCCTGATTATATGACTTAGTTGTAAGCATAGCATTGTTCATTCGCTTACAATAATGTTTTGCTTATAACTGAGTTATACAATCGGACAGAAACTACACAAAATTTATGTAAAATGACTACTATGTGCTTTGTTTTTTGTCTGATTGTATGACTCAGTTATAAGCATAACATTGCTTATTCCCTTACCCATTCAAATTTTCGACCTGCAGTCCAGTACTCGTACCCACCCTTTTGCCAGGTCTAGCCTTAAGACATGAGTTTTGTCATATATATATTATTAGTTTATCCTCACATTAATTTATTAAATGTAATTATAGTTTATAATTATTTCATTATATTGTATAATCATTTTATTTTTGGAGTCATTATATTGATTGATCTTAATTATGGGTTACTGTTAAATTACTTTATTTTAGGGAATCATTCCCCATTAATTATAAGTTAATACTAAATCAACAATTATAAAATATTTATTCATCATTATTATAAAAAATTATAAGTTAATACTAAATCAATAATTATAAAATCTATCTAGATAATTATCATAAGAAAATAAGTATGGTTCAATAGTACTTGTGACTAGATGGAACAAATGTACTAAGCCAAAAATTCAAAACAACATTACGAATCCGATATTACATAATTTTGACCTTTTATTATAAAACCTAAAAACTACTAACTAATTCATTAAAATTGTTGATGCATGATTTTGACACCAACGAAATGCACGTGTGAAATGTTGAGTTGGCCCAAAAGACACACATGAATGGAAAGGAAAATGACAGTAAATGCAGTGAGAAAGGAGTTTTAAAGGGGTTCGGATGCTAAGGAAGCAAATCTTATTTCCACTGATGTTTTTATTAATGATAAAGGTCAGGTCGTTTTAGACGACTGACTTTACACTGATGATATAAGGTATCAAAGGCTGTCTATTCTAGAAAGAGAGAGAGAGAGAGATTGGTCAAGAGTAAATGTGCGAATCCCCTTAATGAGAGAGGAGCTCTCAACTTATAGTGGGATGCCTTGAGGTAATGATCACTGAATCTGTAAGTTGGTGGGATGATCCGTGCAAATCCTTTTTTATGTCACATTATCCATCTTCTAGAGTAATTCACGTGATTTGCTGCAGGGATTAGACACGCGGGATCATCACAACTCTTGGCTGGGCTAACGTGCACCCACTATTCTGACGGAAGCAGGCTGTGGGTGCAACCATGATCACACGACGCGGCTGCGCTAGAATGTCAGTAAACTCTTCCCGAGGTTTGACCTTTCACACTTAACTGGGTGCCACGTCAGCCCTATTTTCCTAGACATAACAAAAATTAAAGAAGAAAATAATTAACTACAATGCTTTCTTAAAAGTAAATTCGTAATTTGTAGTATTCATTTTTGACATTTTATTTCTTCCATAATTCTGTTGTCTTGTGGACTCATGATGTTCAAAATTCTCTTTACATAAATTATTAACATTTTCCTATCCCTTCACAAACTCAACCCAGCTTGAC